GCTCCTAAAAAAACTGTAAACTTTTTCAGCTTAATAACTATTTAAAAAGGAACCTAACAACTAACAGAACATTATTGTTGTTGATTTATGTTAATAAATACAATGTGACTTTTATTTTTATTTAGTGCATCAGTAAATAAATATTTTAAAATAGTTTAACGTGGAGAACCACTCTACTTGCTGGATCAGTCTGCTCTTCAAAACTGTTTCTGCTAATAATTTGGCTAGCATGTCATTTCAAAGAACAGTGCAAGTCAATCAGAATACCTCAAAGTCAGTGAATGAACAGTCAGTTAACCGCTTTGCAGTCATTTTTATCCCCAGTATTTTTTTTCCTGTTTTGTTTATTATTGTTGAATTATATATATATATATATATACAGGCAAATGCTAATGTTTCCACAATTAGTAATCACATTAACACCACAGAAGTACACCCATGCCTTAGTAAAGGTGGTACGTATGACTGACTGTTTACTCCAACTCTCAGACATTCTGGAACAATCTGCACGAGCAAACATTCTATGCGGTGTGGCATGTAAACCAAGGTTTTTAACTGTCTAGTTCAGCTTTATTAACCAAGAATAATTCAGCATAATTATCATATAATAATTTTCTGATACTTATTGTAATAAATACATTTTTTAAAAGTTTATTTATTTAAATCTTACAATTATGTTCACTATACATTTGGCATTTCGTTTTATAAGGAAGTCTATCTATTGGCGACTTTTAAGAACTTTTGAATGAATTGTGACGTTCGTTATAGCGAATGTTCGTTAATTGAACATTCGTAAACCGAGAGTTGCCTGTATTATCTATCTTGAACTATCCAAAGATGATCATATTGTTAACAATATGGAGTGAACAAGCCAAGAGGGTGATGAGGAGAAGCATCATCCTCCTTCACATCTGATGCATACAGAAAAACTTACAGCATTATTAAAATTGGACTCTGTAACAAGATGTACAGAATAGATCATCTAAGAATGCACATTATCAGAAGTGAGTTGTGTTTCCACGTCTGGAACCAAATCATCCAAAATAAATAGTGCAGCTGGATGGAAGAAAACAATAATAGGTTTCTGTGTCCAAGCAAAGAACATCGTGTGATGGAATTTCTTGTCACTTACATTTTAGAGGGGTAAGCTATCACAGATATTCTTCATCCCAGGATGTTTAAGAGTTGAAGTCAACA